AAGTTTTTTTTTTTTTTTGTTTTTTTTTTTCCATCTTTTTTTTCTCGTTGCGACGCAAAAACAGGCCGATAAAATTGGTGGTGGCCAAGTGCTGGGACCCCAACCCGAAGGGCTACTTCACGATCCCGCGGACGGAGCCGGTGCGGCCGATCGACCCTGGCGCCTGGGTCGCCCACACTGCGGCTATCCGAGGCGAGGGCTTTCCACCCCGGCCGCCCAGCGCCACGACCATCACCTCGACGTCCAGCAGCCTGGCCAGTACATTACCGGACAACGAGTGTGAGTTGTGTGTTTTTTTTTTCTGCCCCACCAGCTCGTACATTTGACCTGATGGATGGTGAGAGACCATCAGGTCGGGCACGTGCTGGTATACCTGTGTGCATCAGTTAAGGACCAGGTGTATTACTGATGGAGTAGTGTTGAACTTGTTCTCAGGGCCGTTCGACGAGCTGGATCTGTCTGTCAACACCGACATGGCTACGATTGTGCGAGCGATGGCCCGGCCGGACTCGGGCCTCGAGATACGCGACCGCATGTGGCTCAAGATCACCATACCCAACGCCTTCATCGGCGCGGACGTCGTCGATTGGCTGCACACGCACGTCAAGGGCTTTATCGACAGGTCGGTGTTTGTTCGCGCGTTTGCTGAACACACATTATTGCGATTCAAAGTTTTTCATGTGTATATCCATTCAATTTTGTGGGGCAATAGGCGGGACGCGCGCAAGTACGCCTCCCTGATGCTGAAGGCGGGATTTATCAGGCACACGGTCAACAAAATCACCTTTTCCGAGCAGTGCTACTACATATTTGGGGACCTGTGCTCGGCGATGAGCAACATGAAGCTTGACTGCGACACTGTCGGCCCACTGCCGCCGCCCAGCGCCTGGGACATGCCTTACTCGGGGACTTACGCGCCCCACGCGGCCACGGGCTACAGTCCCATGCCCTTCAACTTTACGAACGAGCCCACGGTCTACGGCTACCACCGCGACGACAGCCTGCACAGCGGCTCAGGTATCTTGGCTGATTCTTCCGATCGCTTGATCACTTAGACGCTTCATATGTGTATTTTTTTTTTTTATTCTGCCTCATCCTCGCACTTGCACCGGATTGTTTTTTTATTTTTATTTTATTTTTTTTTTCACTACAACCGTAAGTATGGATCTTGAAATTAAAGAGATTCGTTTTTTTCTCTCGATTCTTAAAGTTGACGTGTTGTTAAGGTTCACTTTAAATCAAGAATTCTTGAAGGAATAAAATTTCTCCCCAACTTGGTGATTTTATTGAACACAGTACCTACAGGAGAGTGTTGAAAGGCAAGTTTGAAAAAGAGACAAAGCCTCGGCAGAGCACAATAATTTCGGAATGGAAATAAATATAACCGGTATACTTGGTGCTGGAACTGTCAGTGTAAGCTGCATTAGCCATTTCAGGTAAAAAATACTCCATAGTAGCGTGACTATAGCCACAGGGCGTTGATTTTTCAGAGTCTGAATGTTTATGTGACTATATGGCATGATTTCTGAGGATCCAACAAAGAGTTTTTTTTACGAATCATCAACTGAAAAATAGAAAGGCGTATGAGGTAAGTATAATAGCTACATACATTACATATCCGCATGCAGCACAGAATCATTGAGAAGGAGCCATAATAATATATGTAGGAAGCATCTCTCGAAGCACACACGAGTAATGTATATTATATATACGACATACACGCGTACAGGAAAAAAAGAGAGAGAGAGAGGGGGGGGATCTGACAAGTCGAGGCGAGGTGGAGAACAAACTAACCATCTCGCACGCACACGTAAGCAAGCACAGTATGTGTATTTTCGGTCGGCTCTCGGCCTCGCGCCTCGCGCTGTATGCACTGTCCATTCAGTAAAGCGCTCTCCGCGCTGCGGTAAGGATCGCCGTTGCTACCGCCCCAGCCCCATACATCTACGTGTACACACACACATGTATATAGTTATATACCTTGTACAATTAAATACAAGTGTTCGTGAATATACATATGTGTGTGTGTGTGTGTGTGTATCCGAGTAGTCCGTCGCGCGCGAGCTCGAGACCGGGTGCAGATTGCAAATCTTGTTGCTTCTGCTTTCTATACTTATGTGCAATGTAACATGTATGTATACATGTACCCCCACACCGCTGCGGTACTATATGTATATGCGTGTGTGGTGTGTGTACCCTTCCTTCGCTCCATCCCCTCTCCTTTTTTCCATCGAGAAAATAGAATGGCTTGTTCATTCACTCGCTCTGCTCAAGTGTCATAAATATACTATACGTATCGTACCTACCGAACGTACACGCTCCTACATAATATAAGTACCTACATTATTTTAAGTAAGCCAATATTTAAACAAAACTTTTGCTGCATCTAAGTAATTGACATGTTGCACGAAAAAAAAAAAAAAAAATACAAGTACAAATTCAAATTCATCTGGTCATTGTGTTGCAAAAATATTAAACATTTGGTTTTTCGCATAACCAAAAATTGACAGATATGGAGAAGTAGACACATACCTAAATGTCAAGTGTGACATCGTCAGCCCCCTACTCCTGGCCTACTCCGTTATTTATTATTTATGGATCATGAGAAAAAAAATATATCTATGTATACGTGTCCAAGCAATACATAACGATAATGCACTATTCATTAAACGGATTATTAAAGTCATCAACATCATCAAGTCGTTATCGTGTATATGTATGTATATGTGTATTATATACGCGCTGTACATGTGCATGGCATGGAGAAGCAGAACCGAGGACGTGTCGTATTGTCCGCGAAGAGCTATGGGGACGCTCTCTCGGGAACGAATTATTGGCCCTGGGCGGGACACTGCCGCCGCCAAGCGGTCTCGCACGCTTTCTTAATGCTCCTTTAATAGACCCCCAGCCCTCTCTCTCTCTCTCTCTCTCGGCTCCCTTTTTTTTCCTTTTTTTCCTTTTTCTTCCTTCCGTTCGTTCGTCTAAGCGTGCGTGTCTCACGGTATTTTTCAAGTCAGAATGCGTTATTTTATTTATTTATTTTTTCTAATTTGCTTAAGAGGATTTCGAGAGATTACGTTGACAGAGAAGCGCGTTGGAGGGGTGAAATAAGCTATCTTTCCCGATTAAATGTACTGTTTGAGTTTTTTTTTTATTTATAGTTAATTATTGGCCGTTCCATTTATTCGTAGACAAAACGGAAAACGCTGCTTACAGGTAACTGTAACGTACAATAGTGAACACACTTTCTAAATATACATTATTATCGTTAACAGAAGCAACTTTCTATAAAACCCTCCGATTTGGGTATGCGGCAAAAGGCTCTGATGCTGAGATTATGACGTTTAATCGCGATAACTAATTCACTTTTACCATGAAGATCTAAAAATATTGGTAACGAGACTAATCGACTCTTTTACATATCGATACACAGAACGACAATGACGACTAAGTATTACAATGCGGATATCTGGGAATAAATAATTACAATTGGGCACCAGTGTTGCCATCGACAGCGGCATAGACGCTCTTGAGTACCAGTACCGCGTCGTCTAACCTGCAGTACTCCAAGGCCTTACTAGCCTCGACGTTTCTGATCCACACCCTCCTCGCTTCGTCCGTGTCCTTGTCGCCGGGCTCGGAGTGCACGATCCACTGGTTGTCAAAGTACATCCTGTAGGTGCTTCTGAGCTCTTGCTCGAAGCTAGCCGCGCAAACGAGTACCGGACGGCAAGCGAACTCGGAACAGGTCCGAGCCGCGTTGAGTATGGCGGCGCAGCACTTTGCCGACTGGAGCGCGTCGTTGCCGTCCGCGGCCGCGAACGCGTCCAGGTCGTCGATCAGGAGNTTTTTTTTTTTTTTTTTTTTTTTTTCTTTTTTGTTTTTCTAAACGTAGGTATAGATAAGTATAGAACGGGATGATGCCGTGTCAGTATAAAGTTATCATCAGTAACACTGCTCTAACGATGCAGATCCTTGCAGTTTGGTTACAGTTGAAATATTTAATAAAACATTAATTACGTATTTTTCGAGGTATTTTTAATTTTTAACAAAAGTGAAATCTTACGGTAGGGTGGTCGTGCGATGTGTGTTACTGTACAATATATCATTAATACATGTACGTTGTATGATTACATTGTAATAAGGAAAATTATTATTATTGTTTTTTTATTTTTATTTTATTTTTTTTTTCACTACAACCGTAAGTATGGATCTTGAAATTAAAGAGATTCGTTTTTTTCTCTCGATTCTTAAAGTTGACGTGTTGTTAAGGTTCACTTTAAATCAAGAATTCTTGAAGGAATAAAATTTCTCCCCAACTTGGTGATTTTATTGAACACAGTACCTACAGGAGAGTGTTGAAAGGCAAGTTTGAAAAAGAGACAAAGCCTCGGCAGAGCACAATAATTTCGGAATGGAAATAAATATAACCGGTATACTTGGTGCTGGAACTGTCAGTGTAAGCTGCATTAGCCATTTCAGGTAAAAAATACTCCATAGTAGCGTGACTATAGCCACAGGGCGTTGATTTTTCAGAGTCTGAATGTTTATGTGACTATATGGCATGATTTCTGAGGATCCAACAAAGAGTTTTTTTTACGAATCATCAACTGAAAAATAGAAAGGCGTATGAGGTAAGTATAATAGCTACATACATTACATATCCGCATGCAGCACAGAATCATTGAGAAGGAGCCATAATAATATATGTAGGAAGCATCTCTCGAAGCACACACGAGTAATGTATATTATATATACGACATACACGCGTACAGGAAAAAAAGAGAGAGAGAGAGGGGGGGGATCTGACAAGTCGAGGCGAGGTGGAGAACAAACTAACCATCTCGCACGCACACGTAAGCAAGCACAGTATGTGTATTTTCGGTCGGCTCTCGGCCTCGCGCCTCGCGCTGTATGCACTGTCCATTCAGTAAAGCGCTCTCCGCGCTGCGGTAAGGATCGCCGTTGCTACCGCCCCAGCCCCATACATCTACGTGTACACACACACATGTATATAGTTATATACCTTGTACAATTAAATACAAGTGTTCGTGAATATACATATGTGTGTGTGTGTGTGTGTGTATCCGAGTAGTCCGTCGCGCGCGAGCTCGAGACCGGGTGCAGATTGCAAATCTTGTTGCTTCTGCTTTCTATACTTATGTGCAATGTAACATGTATGTATACATGTACCCCCACACCGCTGCGGTACTATATGTATATGCGTGTGTGGTGTGTGTACCCTTCCTTCGCTCCATCCCCTCTCCTTTTTTCCATCGAGAAAATAGAATGGCTTGTTCATTCACTCGCTCTGCTCAAGTGTCATAAATATACTATACGTATCGTACCTACCGAACGTACACGCTCCTACATAATATAAGTACCTACATTATTTTAAGCTTATAATAACAAGTACTTAGATATGTACGAACACGAGAGAAACGAATACCGCGATCGACAATCAGTACGTAATATTGCATAGAGTTAAGCATTAAGTACTATTACTTGTTTGCGTTTACCTGGATTGCACATAAATATTTGAGTTATACCTACTTAATTCTTCGTTCACGTTTACACGTTTGTGTTTCGAGAGCATAAGTTAGTAGTATAATATACTTACTGTTCAGTGCTCATGGTAGACTGATGATGTTCAGCCCAAGTCTATAAGTACACATAAATGTTGATGTACACGTGCAACCAATGTACACGTGGTGTATATGGTGCGCGGTGGATGTGGTCAAATGATGGACAAAAGCAAAAAATAAAAAAATAAAACAAACGGGGAGTCGACGATAATATAGTGTCAAGCAAAGTTTTCATGAATCAACAAAAACAGGTGTAACGTGGTCCCAGTAATGTACATGACAAAATTTATCATCGGGAACAGGAGAGAGCACGCGAGAGATTCAGCAAAAAAATCATCAACGATTGGAGCAGCAGCTTACACCGTCAGTCTGGCCTACCCCCCAACACCCCTTCCTCATAAAATCTCTGCATGATAAAATACTCAAGTTTATCGTATATTGTAATGACACATAGGTATACTATATTTATA